AAAGAAAGAATTTAATGTAGACATATTGCTATACCAAAAATAAAGAGATACTTGTCTGTGAAATCTATTTAAATCCTTCACTACTAAGTTCCTTCTGTTAAGTATTAATTTGAGCACATGAAATACTTTCTGATTCTTTTATTTTTACTTATTTATCCATCTTTGAAAAACATAGGGTGCTAGAGGTTGTATACCCTGTCTAAGGGTATTTGTAAGAAATCAGCATTCATTTTTGACTTTCCAAAACACAAGGAGAATGAAAATATTCTTCGATGCGTGTAGACATAGTATCGACATTAAATACTGTTGATTTGCTAAGACCATCCTCCTATACGCAATGAGAAATGTAGGCTGCTACAACAACCATTGCCAGAGAGCTCACTGTTTCCTTATTCCAAGTTGATGTTATGCAAAAGTCCTTCACATATAAGAAAAATAGATGATATCATCTACAAAATGCAGATGAAATTGAGTGGATCTCTGAATTAGAAATGTGTTTCTCAGGAGGGTGAGGATCAACGCAGCAGAGAAAACAGAACGTAGGTCTATTGTGATGTGTTGCAAAAAAAAAAACATAAAACCCCACTGATTCATATTTTGTAGTATAAATTAACATTTTACACCCCCTGGCTGTCAATCAGACAGCTGGCCAACTTACTTCCTGGTTTGTTTAGCTCAGTGGAGTTAAATACAAGATTCAGCAATGCCCAGAGCACCTGACTTACAAAGACTTCTCATTGAGCTGCATTGGGAAGACTGTGATTGGACAGCTAAGAAAGTCTGGGCGGGGCTAGAAGGAGAGGACCTGTAAAGGCTGCAGACAAGAGAACTACAGGTCTTGAAAGCTGTTTTTAGATTTAATCCCAATGAAAAAATACATAATTAAATGTATCCCTGGTTTCATTGGGGGCATATCTACTAAATAATGATTTTAAATACAAAAATATACAAACTATATATATATATATATATATATATATATACACATACACACACAAACACACATACAAATATAAATGTAATACATAACAGGTAATAAATATATTCAACCATGGCAGGTGCATTCTATGCTGAGGTCTATTGCCATAGTTCTCTTAAAAGATTTTAGATTGAATGAAGATTTGACTGTGTCCCTGAGGTTATTCCATAATTGCAGTGCTCTGTAGGAAAATGAGGATCGAGCCACTTTATTTTTGTATTGCGGTATGCTAGATATCGTGCTAGTACTGGATCGAAGGTTATAGGAGGTGGGAACAGCTGGGGAGAACATTCTACTCGGGTAGGGTGGGAGCTTCCCATAAATGCTCTTATGCTCAAGGCTGGAGAGATGAAGAGTGCGTCGGGATTCCAGCGACAGCGAGTTTAGCTCTTTTAACATGTCACAGTGGTGGGTCAAGTAATCACATTCTAGTACAAAGCGGCAGAACGAATTATATAACGTATTGTTTATTAAGGTGGGTTTGCGGTGCGGGTGTATACACTACATCCCCATAATCAATGACCGGCATTAGCATTTGTTGCATTATCTGTTTCTTTACTGTAGGGCTTAGGCTGGATTTGTTTCTGTACAGGGCACCTAGTTTGGGGTAAAGTTTTGAAGATATTTTTTCAATGTGAAGGCCAAAAGGATAGATTGGGGTCTAGCAACCTACCTAGATATTTAAAAGAGCAGACTGCTGTCAGTGTGCTATTTGAATTTGTTCTGATACACAGTTGTTGATTTTATAGTTTACGTAATTTAGGTACAGTTCCAAAGATCATTGTAATGGTTTTGTCAGTGTTTAGCAAGAGTTTATCTGCTATCCACTTTTCTACCTCTGTGAATTGGTTTTGGAGCACAGCCTCAAGTTGCGGTAGCTTGGGTTTACTAGCGTACATTACAGTGTCGTCTGCATACATGTTTACAGTTGAAGATTTGCAGACGTTAGGCAGATCATTTATAAATAATGTGAATAGCAGGGGGCCCGAGTATGGAGCCTTGGGGAACACCACGCGTGACTGGAAGAGGGAGGGAAGCGCTATCGGAAATGGCCACATATTGCAATCGGTCTGAAACATACGATCGAAACCAGGTTAGCGGACGATCACCAATGCCTGAGTTTTTATGTTTTTGCAAAAGAATGCCATGGTCTACTTGTTACCGGAGGAATAACAGGAACAAACCGCAGAAGCCACACATAGAGATATGGACACAGGAATTCAGGAAGTAAGAGGCCTTTATCCACGTACCGATCGGGTCTCAGATGAACTCCTGTTCCAAAAATATCTGAGACGCAGAAAGCATGGTGCAGAGGCCTTTTGTTGGCAGCATATCCCCTCCCATACAGTATAACCCCTCCTATATTCCTCAGACCAATCAGCACACAGGATATTCAGGATAACCGTATATGGGCAGACATAGAAACATAGAAACCATTCGGCCCATCTAGTCTGCCCAATTTTCTAAATACTTTCATTAGTCCCTAGTCTTATCTTATAGTTAGGATAGCCTTACGCCTATCCCACGCATGCTTAAACTCCCTCACTGTGTTAACCTCTACCACTTCAGCTGGAAGGCTATTCCATGCATCCACTACCCCCTCAGTAAAGTAATACTTCCTGATATTAGTTTTAAACCTTTGCCCCTCTAATTTAAGACTATGTCCTCTTGTTGTGGTAGTTTTTCTTCTTTTAAATATAGTCTCCTCCTTTACTGTGTGGATTCCCTTTATATATTTAAATGTTTCTATCATGTCCCCCCTGTCTCGTGAAAATCACAGTGAGAAGTGCGGAAGCAATGAGACAGCCACTAGAGGCTGGATTAACCCATTTGTAAACATAGCAGTTTCTCTGAAACTGCTATGTTTACAGCAGGCAGGGTTAATCCTAGATGGACCTGGCACCCAGACTACTTCAATGAGCTGAAGTGGTCTGGGTGCCTATAGTGGTCCTTTAATAAGATTTAAACAAGCAGGTATAACTGTAGAGTTGATATTTCAGTGTGGCTTATTGGTTTATCCTGTTTTATAAAAAGTATTACTATTATTATTATTATTAGCATTTATTTAGCTAATTGTATTCCACAGCCCTGTATAATAAAACACTGCCCCCTCATGCTTGCCTCCTGTGTAGGAAGGGGAACAATATTATACCCCCTGGTCGTCCAGTGGATCATTGGTTGTCCAGTGGGCTGCCATTGGATTCATTGGTGGTAGTGGGGTCCCTGGGGATCAAGTGTGTTCCTTTGCAGCTGCATGCCTCCCAATGGAGTGTCGCTGAACCACAGACCACAGGGGAAGGAGGTTTTAATAGCTGGCATGGAGATCATTTGGTCTTCCTGCCAGAAACACAGATGGTCTGATGAGAATCAATTGGGCCATACTCAATTACAAAGAAGCGGTGCAGAGCCAGTTTGTGATGGAACACCGACACTCCATCTGCGCACACCTATGCTTGACATGTGTGATGGTAGTCACCATCACTGGGGGGGGCTGAAGATGGACACTTTATGTACATCCCCAGGTTGTTCTTATGTTTTAGTCTCCCTGTGCCCATTATAGAGCAGGGTGTGTAAAATGTATTGTTCATTATTAAATGTTTGTGTGCTCTCCTGTTCTGCTGATGCTTGCAATCAGCTAGGTGGATTTGGCTGTGATACCTGTACAGCGCCATCTGTTGCTTGCAAGGATCTTGAAGTGATGCCTGCAACTGGATTTGGCTAGTGAGCCTGTACAGTGCCATCTGTTAGTTGCAAGGATCTTGAAACAGATATATGCACTACCTGAATATCAAGGCTTGTTAATTTGCATGATCAGGTAGATTTGTATATTATGATTTCTGCAGGCTGGAGAGATAGTTTAACCCCTTCAGGACCGAGGACGTTTCAGGACCGTCATCGGCATTTTTGCGTTGCCGACCAGTGACGGTCCGGAACCGTCCTAACGGTCCAATGTACTTACCCGATCACCGTCGTTCTCCCGGTGGCGATGGTGTTGCTCCCGTTGTGGGAAGACTGCCTGCAGCCAGGACAGTCTCCCCGTGGCGGATTAGGACCCCTGGGGCCACAATAGGTGTCCATATGTCTGTCTGCAGGGGGCCTGCCTGTGCTGACAGGCAGTCTCCCTGCTAGGGCAAAATAAAATAAATAATTAAAGTTAAAGTTAATAAAAAAAATAATTATATATGTGTATATAAATATGATGTATAGACATTTATTATATCTATATAATATATGTTTATATATCATATGTATAATGTCATACTAAGTGTATTTTTATATTAATATGTACATATATTAATATAAAAATACACTTATAATTAAATTACACACGTATATATATCTATATATATATAATATATATAATAACTATATATATTGTATATAAATATTATTATAAAATACAAATAATAAGTCATTTTTTTATTTTATTTTTTTATTATTCTTTATTTTAGTTGTGTATATGATTATAACAGTCGCTTGTGAGGTACCCCAAAGGCAGTCCTCTAGCGCGTGATAAACAGTTTAAACATTGGGGTAGACGTTGGATCTAGCACATTTTTTAAGTTAGTAATGTTATGAACAGTATATATTTGCGTTGCTTAAGCATTTTAATACATAACACGAAACAACATCACTTGTATCTTTCTAGATAGTAGTTTTTTACGCTATGTCATAAGCTAGTCAAACATAAAATAATTATACTAAACTTGCATGAGCAAGATTAAAGTAACACAGTATATAATTAGAAGTTTGCAGGCTATAATCACAGAAGTATTTGGTCACTGATATGTCGTTTGGGCTAAGTAGCTAATCTCTAGCTTGGGTTACCGCGGGCGTCACCTTAACATGCGTGGGGATCGCGGGGTTGATCTGCTCGTGTTCCCCCAACCAGGTCTGGGGTCCACGTGTTTAATATGGCGAGTATATGTTGGGGCTTGTGTGCATTATAGTTGTTTGCGGTGGTATACTTTTGCCTGGAGTTGTGTCGTGGAATGTGTATGCAGATTGCTCTATGGTCTGATTATGCTGGTGGGTTGTCAGGTATGTCAGAGTGCGTGTGGGTCCGTAAGTACCGTCTGTGTCCGTGTTGACAGGGTCGGGGCCACGTTTCTAATGTCCACTGCAAAGTCCAGAGTGCGTCCAGAGTTAGCTGGTACCTAATCTCGGTAGAGGGCACTTGGGGCCACTGGGGACCCGGCAAGTTAGTCCTGTGGTACTGCTTCTGAAGCTCATAGTTTCGGGTGCTTCCGAAGTTGGCCGCGGTTGTTCTGGTGCAGGTGCTGTCGGAGGTCTCTACATGGGGTTTCCTCCTGTGTTCTCGCATGCCCGTTGCTTGGTAGTGATGTTCAGGACTGGAGCTCCTGGGCGTCTGCAGCCTGAGCGGTTTCGTCGGGTGAGGTAGCGTGTTCCATGCTGCAGAGGCACCCTGGAGGTTTCTTCTCGTTTCCCGCCTTTTATCTGTCCTGTCGTGGTCCCCTGCCGGTGCTTGTGGCCGCTTAGGGTGGTTTGCTGGCCTGTCTCGGGGGTCTGTGCTGTCTGCAGATTGGCTCTGCCATCTGGGTGACCCTGCAGTACGAGGTGAGTCACTCTTAATTTTGCCCATGTGGTTGTGGGCTGTCCGCCATCTTGGAATGCACCTTCTGGGCTGTATATTGCGGGCCGGTTCGCGGTTAGGTTCAGCAGACGGCTTTATTGGACGCCCGTGGGGACTGGGATCACCCCCGCCGGTCCAAAGGGGGGGGCAGCAGAGCGCCGTTTGGAGACCCGGGGGACTGGCCGTCTCTCCCTGGCTCAAGCTCACATAGGCCCCAGGCCATGGTCGGGTTACTCCTGTGCCGTATCGTGGCATGAGTGGTATCGCCGTGTGTGCTGTCATCTTGTGGGCAGTTTGAATGCCAAATTGGGTCTCTGTCTGCTTGTGGCACGCTGTTAGCTCCGATTCTTTGGCCCAGATCCTGGAGCTCAGACGAGACACGTATGATTCGTTCAGCGGTCAGGCTCCGCCCCCAAATAATAAGTAATTTAAATTAAATAAAACCATGTAAAAATAATAATAAAAATTTTAAAAAAATATATATCTATATGAAATTTTATTCTAACTGTATTTTGATAGTTTATATCAAAATACACTTAGAATGAAATTGTATATATATCTATGTATATATAAATAAATAAAAATAATACGAAATATACATATGTCCATATACAAAATTACATAAATAATTATATAAATATACACGTAGAGTTCAAATATATAAATATGCATATATATTTAAATTCTACGTGCGTATTTATGTAACATTTTTTACATAATTAAGTAATTTTTTTGATTGCAATTTGAGGGACCTGCCTGCCAACCCATGGGAGTTACTGTTTTACTCGGGAGACTTCGCTGAACACAAATATTAGTGATTCAAAACAGTAAAACATATAACAGCGATGATATTGTCAGTGAAAGTGACTTTTTTTTGCATTTTTCACACACAAACAGCACTTTTACTGATGATATAATTGTTGTGATACGTTTTCCTGTTTTGAAACACTAATATTTGTGTTCAGCAAAGTCTCCCGAGTATAACAGTACCCCCCATGTACAGGTTTTATAGCGTTTTTGAAAGTTACAGGGTCAAATACATGTGTCAAATATTTTCACATTGAAAAAGGCCAGGTTGGTTACGTTGCCTTTGAGAGCGTATGGTAGCCCAGGAATGAGAATTACCCCCATGATGGCATACCATTTGCAAAAGAAGACATCCCAAAGTATTGCAAATGGGGTATGTCCAGTCTTTTTTAGTAGCCACTTAGTCACAAACACTGGCCAAAATTAGTGTTCAATTTAGTTTTTTACTTTTTTCACACACAAACAAATATGAATGCTAACTTTGGCCAGTAATTTCGACTAAGTGGCTACTAAAAAAGACTGAACATACCCCATATTGAATACCCTGGGTTGTCTACTTTAAAAAAAAATATGTACATGTGGGGTGTTATTCAGAGATTTGTGACAGATAATAGTGTTACAATGTCACTATTGATAAATTTTAAAAATGTATGTTTTGAAACCGCAATATCCTACTTGTACCTATAGCCCTATAACTTGCTCAAAAAGCAAAAAAGCACGTAAACACTGGGTATTTTTAAACTCAGGACAAAATTTTGAATCTTTTTAGCAGTTTTTTTCATTCGCTTTTGTAGATGAGTAAAAGATTTTTCAAGTTAAAGTCAAAAAACATTTATTTTTTTCAATTTTTCATCATTTTTTTTTTAGTTTTTTTAAATTAAATTACATGAGATTATATAAATAATGGTATGTAAAGAAAGCCGCTTTTGTCCTGAATAAAACAATATAATTTGTATGGGAACAGTAAATGAGAGAGCGGAAAATTACAGCTAAACACAAACACCACAAAAGTGTAAAAAGAGGCCTGGTCGCAAATGTACAACATCGCAGTCCAGTCCTTAAGGGGTTAAGTTAATTATTATTGTGAGTTCCTTTGTGTTTCCCCATATGATTTTATTATTTGTATTTTATTGCGTGGTCACCATAAGGTAAATGCCATGTGCATATGGGTTAGTCCCGAGTTAAAAATAAAGCTGTGTGTGTTAGTTCCTTTTAGAACTGTGTGTCCTGTGTTGATTTGTTCAGGGATCCCAGTAACAGAGTCTTCAGACCTGTTGGCTGGCTGCATGGTCACTGTAGTCTGGGACAATTCAAAAAGAGCTGGGCCTGAGAGCCACAGGAGCTTGTCACAGTGCAGGCTGAGGTGTGGATACCTGCCTAGAAAAGCGAGAGTTTCAGCCTAGTCAGATAGAAGAATTCTGAACATTCCAGATTCCCTGAAAGTGGCCAAAAAGCGCAATGGGCGGAGGTACTCAGTCAGAGTTCAGAGTGCAACCATAATATATATATTAACTATAAGCGCCCTTGGACATGTTTCCTTGTTCATGGTTGGACAGTGCTGAGGGGCAGGTAAGTCCAGTGCTCTTGGCCTATTATTGTCATCGAAGGTTGAACAAATTTTCATTCAATATTTAGGGTACATTCCGTAGACAATTCTGGGGAGCATTTGGGAGCTGAAGCCCCTAATGCGGGACTTTTTAACTCTTGATCTCTACAGGTACTGGAGGGCGGTAATGATTTAATGAACCGCCCAATATAAAAACAAAGATTGCTATTATAGTGCTCCACAAATCTACTAAGAAGGCGGTTGTGGTGGCCCCGAGTATGGGCTGAATTAAGAGGCCTGGTACTGACAATTACAATGGGCCTAATTACAGAATCTTATTGACAGAAAACACTAAAACAGTTATACCTCCCAAGCGACACATATCTAGTGGGTGTGGTGCTGGAGGGAAACTCACAGGATGCAGCTATAAGAAAACACAAACCCTATGATAATCTCTCGCTTTCATCTCTCAAGCAAATCCATACACCCTAACAGCAGGACGTCGGTAGACAGGGTAAAAGGGTGGGCCACTTACGGCACATAAGGGGACAAGGGGACATGCCAGTGGCGTACTAAGGGGGGGGCGGTCCGCCCCGGGTGCCACCAGGGTGGGAGGTGCCATGACCCTGGTCTGTGGTCGCACAGTGCCCCCCCCCATGGTAGTTAGGTGCTGGGCGGCCAGAACAGCTCACACACTAAGAGCAGCTGAACTGGCCGCACGGAGGTAAAGTGGAGGCGGAGCTAACACAAATTGGGGCGGAGCCAAACCGGCAGCAGGGGCGGGGCTTAATACGGCCCTTACTGGTTACTGCTGCCCATGGAGGTGCAGTAAGATGGAATCCCTGCTTCTCCACAGGCTTCAGGGAAGGACTTCAGGAAACCACTCCTCCAGCCCACTGTCTGTAAGTAAGAGTGTGTATCTGTGTCTGTGTGTGTGTGTGTGTGTGTGAGTCTGTGTGTGTGTGTGTGTGTGAGTCTGTCTGTGTGTGTGTGTCTGTGTCTCTGTGTGTGTGTGTGACGTGTGTGTGTCTCTGTGTGTGTGACTGTGTGTGTCTGTGTGTGTGTGTCTCTGTGTGTGTGTGTAAAACTGTCTGCCTGTAACTGTGTGTGCGTGTGTGTGTGTAACTGCCTGTAACTGTGTGTGTTTGAGACTGTCTGCCTGTAACTGTGTGTGTGTGTCTGCCTGTAACTGTGTGTGTGTGACTGTGTGTGTGACTCTCTTCCTGTGACTGTGTGTGTGAGTGACTGTATATGTGACTGTCTGCCTGTGACTGTGTGTGACTACCTGTAACTGACTGTGTGTGTGTAACTGTCTGCCTACAACTGTGTGTGTGACTGCATGTGACTATGTATGTGTGACTGTCTGCCTGTGACTGTTTGATGTTGCCTGTAACCGTGTGTCTATCTGCATAGTCATGCGTACGGGGTGTGCCTGGTGTGTCTGGGCATACCCTAATCCCTGCGGCACACGCTATGTGCCTCCCTCCATGGGCCGGTGAGGGAGATCAAAGATCTAACTCACCGGCCCACAGAAGCATGGAGGGAGGCAGGAGAGGACCCGGGGAGCTCTAGCCAGCAGCTCCGCCAGGTTCCTCTCGCAAGATCTGAGCGTTGCGACGGCAACACTCAGATCTCGCGAGAGTGAACTCTAGCCTTGCAGGCTGCGGGGCTAGAGTTCACTCACCACTGGACCACCAGGGATGGCAGCAGCACCGTCCCCCCTCCCTACATAAGGTAAGAAGGGAGGGGGGATACACAAACAGCACCCACACACAGCATACACACACTAACAGCACCCTTACACACACAGCACCCATATACACACACACAAACACACACACTAATAGCACCCTCACACACACAGTGCCCTCACAAACAAACACACACACAGTGCCTTCACACACACAGCAGTGTGTGTGTATATATATATATATATATATATATATTAAGCAGCGCGTGTTTGTGCTTTAGGGTGCACACCCTTATGCAGTGGGCTGCATATGCCTATGGCTATCTGTCTGTGACTGTGTGCATGTGACTGTCTGCTGCTGCCTTTAACTGTGTGTGTGTGTCAATGTATATGTGACTGTCTGTGACTGTATGTGTGACTGTCTGCATGTGACTGTGTGCGTGTGACTGTCTGCCTGTAATTGTGTGTGACTGTATGCCTGTAACTGTGTGTGTGACTGCCTGCCTGTAAATGTGTGTGTGGGGCTGCAGGGACAGGAGTGTTTATAAGGGGGGATAAGCAAGGGATTTATGGAAGGGGGTTGCAGGGGTTTTGTAGACGGGGTGCAGTACAGGATTTGTAGAAGGGGCAGGACAAAGGTTTTGTAAGAGGGACTGACAGCTTTTTTGCAAAGTTTACAAATTGTAAAAAAAAAAAGAAAACATTTAAATATTTTTTCAGGTTCTTTTGGGGGGGGAGGGGGGTGCCACGCTGTGCATGTGAGCTTGTACATAATGGCATGCTCACCACGTCTAGAGGGGTATCAGCTACACCTCGCAGCCGAGGCCCCAGGAAGGCTGAAATGATCATCTGGGGTTTTTGTATCTCTTATACAGAAAGAATCCCTTTGCAGTTATGGCACTGTTAATATTATTTATCAATATCATTTATCATTATAGAATTGATATAGAGCCATGTTCAAACTAG